TTCAAAAAAAAAAAAAACAAGCTAAAGAGTATCTGTCGGTGAGCTACCAGATATAGTCGATTTAAGTATTCCATTTTCATGCTTCATCTAATACATATAAAATATTGGTATGGGCAATACTACAAGAAAATGGAACATTTATATCCAATATATAAATGGAAAATCATAAATCTTAGGTTTCTAGAAAAGAGAGATATATTTAGATATAGCAAGTTGTTTCGCAAGTTATGAAGATAAAAGTATTGAAAATTCTGACCCTTTGTGAATGAGGTACCAGAAAGGGGTTCACAGATATATATCATCTGCACAGCAGATATTGTTTGTTTGTGTGAAATTTGAGGAGAGTTGGATGCTTATTTCGCTTTCTTTGAGCCTTTGTGGTGCTTATTTCGGAAAGAGAACCTGATGTTTATTTCGGATTTTATAAACGTTTTGGTTATTTAAAAATTTGGCCCTTTGTGGGGGCTGTACCAGAAGGAATGGTCCGATCTCTACAGTTTAGAAATATTCAGATGTGCCAAGTCTAAATGGAATCGGATGTTATTTTCACGTTTCTCGAGCTTAATGGATATTCAAAATACCAGAAAGAGTGGATCTGTTATATCTTATCACCGGATCTTAGATTTATAAAAAAAATATTGGCATGTGTATTCTTATATTACATTTTATAAGAGTAACAATTATTGAACATTTTTACCCTACAACTCTCATAAAATGTGATGTAAGAATCCGATTGTCTTGAAATTTCACACATCCCCAATAATTATATTAACCCAAAGTCTGGTGTAAAAATGGAATATAACGGTCCACTTTTTCTGATACCTCCCCTTCAAAAGGTCGACATTTTAAATATACATTAAGCTCATAAAACGCAAAATTACAAACGGTCAAAGTTTTGAATAACCAAAACGTTTATAAAATCCGAAATAATCATCAGGTTCTCTTTATATTTCACACATCCATTATTTCCACTAACTAAAGATCCGTTGTAAATATGGGATATATCGGTCCACTCCTTCTGGTACCTCCCACACAAAGGCTCAAAATTTTGAATAACTATGAAGCTCATAACAAGCGAAATTGACATCCGATTCCATTCTACACTAGCACGTCGCAATATTTATGTCATATTGATTTAGCTCCGATACAAAATGGACAATATTGGCACATTCCTTTGAATAATCATATCAAAAGTCAAAATATTTTTAAATAATCAACATGGTACAATGATATAAAGGTAGGGCTATGATACCATATGATTTCAATTTTTTTATTTTCTTGGCTTAATATGTCATCTATATTTGTTTATGTATGTGTTTTCTTTTCAATAACAAAAAAAATGTTCAGAGAACATTCAAAATCGGGTGTTTTCAAAATGTTTATTTCAACGTATGCATCGACAAAATCTAGAGTTTTTGTAGCAAAATAATCCTTTAGAGATATATAGTACATGATTTTGAAAAGAAGTGTTGACCTTTCATTCAGTTATCGCGGTTTTCAATTATTTATTCAAAATAAATGCAACAAGTTGTTTGATTTTTTATTGATGCTAATTCTGACATTACAAGCCAAACAGGTAGACCTCTATACTTGCAATTTTTTCAAAGTTGACCTACCTTCTCTTCATTGTACCATGATAATCAAACATTGGCTGAGGGTATACATCTGTCGGCAAAACCGACCGATACTTTTTTACTTGTATGTAATAAATTTGTTATTTCATTTTTGCGATAATATACCGTATATACAGATTTCATTTTTTTAGTGACCCATAGTAAAATGTTGTGTACAACAATTTCTCTTTTGTGGAATTCAGTCTATAATGAATCAAATCCAAATTAAGGGAAACAATTACAAAAAAACATTATTACTGACTTTGAGCGGAAACTTCCGTGGTATATATTCTGTCTGGAGACTTCCTATTTTTACAGGCCCATAGCAAATTTGTTGAAGGAAATGTCTTCCCCGGACAATATATCCAAAAAAGTCGATGGCGGGCAGTTTTAACTGTCAATTCCAAAAACCATAGCAGAAGAATACAGGTAGATGCATCAATGCTTGGGAGCATTGATATGTCAATAAAATTCAAGTTTTTTCAAATATAAGTAGATTTTTATATGTTTCTTATACTACAACATTCGAAGGCTATTATAATTCGCGTTTTTCAACAATTTTTACAAATTTAAATAATTTTTCATTCAACATTTTAAATTACAAAATTGGTTTGACAGTTCATTGTCCCAGCAGCTGTGTCGACGCGTCTACCTATTATATTCTTCTACCATGCCAAAAACCAAAAAAAAAAAAATCAAAAGTTTAAGAATAAATTTAACGCCTTCGAAAAATTATCCAACGGCAATGAACGGAAATTCAAAATTAGGTCCGGCTTCGTTATTTATTTTGAGCCCAAACATTTTTCAATTTCTTTAGCTATGAAACGGACGTAAATCTTTCGAGCTCTTGATTTGCCGTTAAGAAAACAATTAGGAGCAGAAAATTTTAACAATTCAATCAGTATAGGATGGGCAATGCTAGACAATGATGAAATATTTCGCTATTTGTGGCTCTCGTTAAAGTTGGCTGTCAATGACTGTCATTGCTGAAGAAACAAATAAATAAATAAAATTTTCAAACAATTGTGGGAATCATACAAAACAAATGATATAAAATGTAAATAGATCAAGAATGATTTAACAAAAATGTTGGTAATTGAGGAATACTGCGGATTTGGGTCAAGAAGGATGACATTCGCGGACTAAACAAAACAATCTTTGGAAATTGAGGCAGTAGTCATTTTCAAATGGCATTTTTAGGGGATGTTGTCAATAGATAACTGATTTTTCATAAAATTTTTGTCAGAATCGAATCTTTTCTAATTTAAAATGTTTCCATTTCAACTTCTTCGCTGCGGATGAGACAGCCTTGATAGCCAAAATTAAAAGAATATTCACATCTTGATTTGGTCCCCATTTGTCTTAAACTTTTTTTAACTGACGCCTCTCCCCCTTGGGTAACAATTTGGTGCTTAGCCCATTTTGTCCGTTCTCTACAAAAACCTTATTTTTTCCATTTGACAATGACTATTGCCACAATTTCCAATCATTGTTTTGTTTGCTTATTTTGTCCGTGATTGTCATCGCTCATGCCCCAAATCCGCTGCATTCCTCCATTATCAACAAAGATGGACCCATGGTACAATGATATGAAGGTAGGGCTATGATACCATATGATTTCAATTTTTTTATTTTCTTGGCTTAATATGCCATCTTTATTTGTTTACGTATGTGTTTTCTTTTCAATAACAAAAAAATTGTTCAGAAAACATTCAAATTCGGATGTTTTCAAAATGTTTATTTCATCGTATGCATCGACAAAATCTAGAGTTGTTGTAGCGAAATAATCCTTTAGAGATATATAGAACCTGGTTTTGAAAAGAAGTGTTGACCTTTCATTCAGTTTTCGCGGTTTTCAATTATTTATTCAAAATAAATGCAACAAGTTGTTTGATTTTTTATTGTTTTGATACTAATTCTGACATTACAAGCCAAACAGGTAGACCTCTATACTTGCAATTTTTTCAAAGTTGAGCTACCTTCTCTTCATTGTACCATGGATGGACCTAATTTTGAATTTTGCTTACTTCGTTGCCGGTGGATAATTTTTCGAAGGCGTTAAATTAATTTTTTTTCACTTTTTTTTTTTTGATTTTCGGAATCGATTTAAAACAGGCTGACAATGACATTTGTTGGATACCTTGTCAACTGAAAAAATGTCCTACATTAAATCTGCTATGGGTAGGTAAAAGCAGGAAGACTCTAAACAAATAGAATCTGTATTTGCGATTAATCATTTAATAACAACTTGAAGGTATAAAATTGAGGACTACGTGGTTTTATTTTCACATGCGTTCGATAAACTTCCGACATTGTCCACAAAATTACAATTTTTGGGTACGACGTCAAAGGAGAAATGATTGTAAACTAAATTGCACTATTGGCCAACAAACAAAAGAAAATTTTAGGTAGTATAAATCATCGCGAAAGTGGCACTAACAAATTTAAATTTTACGTATTGGACTATTTTGCCAAATTGTTGAATAAGTTATCGACATTACTAATAATGATTCTATATAAAATTTTATCGTGGGTCAGCGAACAAGAAAATTCTGTATATATCACGATTAATAGTGAAAGCAGCACTAACAAATTTAAAAATGTTAAATGGTTATAATTATTGAAGTTTGGGTTTATATAAACGTGAACAATAAATTGTAACCAAAAACTACCATTATGGTTCCAGTTAGAGGGTCGACAAAAATGGTAGCCAAAGTTAGTAGGGTATTCACATCCTTATTTGGGTCAACATTTGCCTTGAATTTTTTTTGAACTTTAAAATGTTTATGTGTGCCTTGGGAGCCTAATTGGGGCTTTTGTCCATTGTGCTGTGCTATATTTTGACGTTTTTTCCCAAATCCTTATTTTTTCCATATGACAATGACTGCCCGCCTCGATTTTCAATGATTTTTTTGTTTGCTTATTTTGTCCAACAATACCCTCATTCAGGCCCCAAATCCGCCATATCTCAAAAATTTCGCGTTCTGTTATAATAATATCCAGGTGTAATTTCCTGCATGTTAGTATCTGCATGATTTCAACAATTATTTCTAAATTATATTTATACAATCTTTTTCTTCAGCAATGACAACCATTGACAGCGAAACAAATCGCGAAATATTCCATCATTTTCTAGTATTGCCCATCCTATACTGATTGAATTGTTGCAATTTTCCGCACTTAATTGTTTTCTTAACGGTAAATCAAGAGCCCGAAAGATTTACGTCCGTTTCATAGCTAAAGAAATTGAAAAATGTTTGGGTTCAAAACAAATAACAAAGCCGGACCTAATTATGAAATTTGTCAACTTCAATGCCGATTGATAATTTTTCGAAGGCGTAAAATTTATTTTTTTTTTTTTTGATTTTTTTTTTGTTTTTTTGGAATTGTTTTAAAAAAGTCTGACGACGACAATTTCTGGAAATCTTGTCAAGGGAAGAAATTTCAGATATCAAATTTACTGTGGGCCTGTGAAAATAGTAAGTCTCTAGACTGGATATATACCGCGAAAATTAGCCCTCAGGGTCAGTAATTCTTTTTCTTTTTTCAATTTTTTCCTTCGGTTTTATTTGGATTTGAGTCAATATAGCCTAAATACCACATTTTTGGATATGATGCCAATGAAAGAAATTTTCTTCCTCAAATTTTCTATGGGTAAGTGTAAATTAGGAGTCTCTAGACATGATATATGTCACGAAAATATAGCTTTTTATATGATATATACACAATTTAAACATTTATATTCAAATTATTCTACACTAAATTTTACGATGGGTCAGCGAGCAAACAAAATCTTTAGATAACATGGATCATCGTGAAAATGGCACTAACCATTTTAAAGTTTACATATTGGGCTATTTTCCCATATTTTTTAATAAACGACTGAAATGACTATTGAAACCACATTTTTGGGGGAAGATGTCAATAGATAAATGATTCTATATAAAATGTCTATTCTATGAGTCCGCGAACTAAAAAAAATGTCTTCCGTAAGGGGCAACATATTGGATAACAAATTGATGCTTTAGCCCATTCTGTTGTCACATCTTGCCTTTCTTTACAAAAGCCGTATTTTTTCCATCTGACGATCTATATCAAATAATTTTTTGTTATTCCCCAAATCCGCTGTATTCCTCCATTAGCTAAAGAAATTGAAAAATGTTTGGGCTCAAAATAAATAACAAAGCCGGACCTAATTTTGAATTTTGCTAACTTCGTTGCCGTTAGATAATTTTTTGAAGGCGCTAAGTTTATTTGTTAATTTTTTGTATTTGAGTTTTGGAATTGTTTTAAAACAGTCTGACGGCGATATATTTTTGATATTTTGTAAACGGAAGAAATATCATACATCAAGTTTGCTATGGGCCTGTGAAAATAGAAAGTATCTGGACAGGATATATACCACGAAAATTACCACTCATGCTCAGTAATACTCTTTTTTGCAATTGTTTCCTTCGATTTTATATGGATTTGATTCATTATAGTCTGAATACTTCATTTTTGGGATATGATGTCGATGGAAGAAATTTTCTACATGAAATTTGCTAAGGATAAGTGAAAATTGAAAATCTCTAGACATGATATACATCACGAAAATCCAGCTTTTAATGTGATTTATACAAAAACTAAATATTTATGGTTTAAATTTAATCCAATCTCGATTAAGTGCCAAAATGACCCCTAAAGCCACATTTTTGACCGGCGATGGCAAAGGAGAAATTATTGTACACAAAATTTTATTATAGGTCACCAAACAAATGAAATCTGTATATACGATATATTATCGTGAAAATGTAATAACAAATTTGTAATATAAAATTTAAGATTATGTGGTGTTATTTAAACATGTGCTCAATAAATTTCAAAAATTGCCCACAAAATCCACAATTTTTGGGTACGACGTGAAAGGCGAAATGATTCTAAACCAAATTTCAATATGAGACGACGAACAAAATAAATCTGCTGATATCATGGATCATCGTGAAAATGGCGCTAACCAATTTAAAATTTACATATTGCACTATTTTCTCATACTTTTTAATAAACTACCGAAATCACCATTGAAACCACATTTTTAGGGGATGATGTCAATGGAAAAATTTTTCTATAAAACATTTTATCGTTGGTCAGCGAACAAGAAAAATCTGCATATATCACAGATCAAAGAGAAAACGGAACAAACAAATTTAAAATTTTTTATTATTGAATTTTGTATTTATATGAACGTGTACATTAAATTAGAGCCGAAGTCTACCATTATTGTTCCAGTTAGAGGGTTAGCAAAGATGGAGAAAATCTTCTACAGCAAATTCCACCATGGTTCATAGAACAAAAGAAATATGTAAGTGTCCAAGTGGGAGCCGACCCAATGCCATTGGAACTATTGAGATTTCTTCTTTGTCAATATCGAATCTTCTTTAACTTAGAATGGTTTTCTTTCAACTTCTTCAATGCGGGAAAGACGGGTTTGATAGCCAAAGTTAGTAGGGTATTCACATCCTGATTTGAGTCACCATTTCCTTTGAACTGATTCCATTTGTCAATATTCAATGAATCTTCTTAGATTAAATTTGTTGTGTTCACGTAGCATTTCTATAAAAGGTGACATCCTTGTGAAGCTAACTTTAGCTTATTTCTATTTTGTTGTGTCATATGACAATGACATATTCCTCAATTTCCAATGAGTTTTTGTTTGCTTATTTCGCCCAAGAATGTCATCCCCCAGGCACCAAATCTTACATATTCCAGCATTTTCGCCACGTTAAATCAATCATTTTATGGAATCTGTTTTGAACGATTCCAACAATTATTTGAAAATTGTATCTATTCAGTTTTTTTAGCAATGACAACCACTGACAGCCAGCTTATACGGGAGCCACAAATCGCGAAATATTTCATAATTTTATAGCATTGGCCGTCCCATAATGATTGAATTGTTACAATTTTCCGCACCTAACTGTATTTTTAACGGCAAATCAAGAGCTCGAAAGATTTACGTCCGTTTCATATCTAAAGAAATTGAAAAATGTTTGAGCTCAAAATAAATAACAAAGCCGCACCTAATTTTGAATTTTTTCTAACTTCGTTGCCGGTAAATAATTTTTCGAAGGCGTTTAATTTATTTTTTAATATTTTGATTTTTTTTTTGATTTTTAGAATTGATTTGAAGCAGTCCATCAAAGACATTTTTCGGATATCTTGTCAACGGAAGAAATTTCCCACATCAAATTTGCTACGGGTAGATGAAAATATGAAGTCTCCAGACCGGATATATACCACGAAGATTAGCGCTCAAGATCAGTAATTCGTTTTGCAATTTTCTCCTTCGTTTTTATTTGGATTTGATTTAATATAGACTGAGTACCACATTTTTGGGATATGATGACAATGGAAGAAATATTCTACGTCAAATTTTCAATGGGTGAGTGAAAAGTGGAAGTCTCCCGATCACAAAAATCCTGGTTTTAATATGATATATACAAAAACTAAATATTGGTGTTGTTTTCGACCAGTGATGCTAATGGAGAAATTGTTTTGCACAAAATTTGAGTATGGGTAATCAAACAAATAAAATCTTTTTAACGATATATCATCGCGAAAAATTCAATAACAAATTTAATATATAAAACAATTAAAAAAGTGTCGGTCGTTTTTTCTGACAGATGCCAATATTCGATTATTTAAAAATATTTTGACTTTTGTTATGATTATGTAAACGCTTGACAATATTTAGATATAGCAAAATTTTGAGCCTTTGTGGGGGAGGTACCAGAAGGAGCGGACCGATATATCCCTATCTTTTGTTAGAGGAAATAATGGGAGGTGTGAAATATAAAGAGAACCTGATGCTTATTTCGGATTTTTTAAACGTTTTGGTTATTCAAACATTGAACCTTTGTGGGGGAGCAACCAGAAGGAATGGTCCGACCTCTACCGTCTTTATAACAGATCCTGTGTTGATAGAAATATTCAAATGTGTCAAGTCTCAATGGAATCAGATATTTAAAATTTTGACCCTTTGTGGGAGAGGTATTTGATGGAGTGGACCGATATTATCCATTTGTGCACCTGGCATAGAACTGACGTAAATATTAGGATTTCCCTTTCTGTGCAGAAAATATGTATTTTTATACCCTCCACCATACTATGAAGGGTATATTAACTTTGTCATTCCGCTTATAACTCCTCGAAATACTCATGTCAGACCCAACAACTTATATATATTCTTGATCAGCGTAAAATTCTAAGTGGATTAACCGATGTCCGTCTGTCTGTCTGTTGTATTCACGCTAACTTTCGAACGAATTGAGATAGAGGTCTAAAATTTTGCACACATGTTTATTTTGCCAGTAGGCAGGTTAAGTTGGTAGGTCCACGTTTTCATATAACCCCCATATAACGGTACCTCCCGATATTCGGTATTTTGATGATTTTAGCGACATTATCCACCGGAATTGTTTAAAATTTGCTATTTGAAATTCGAAATGGATACTATAGCCCACGACAGAAAATTGTCTGTGCAGGTCCCCGTCTTCGTATGGCCCCTATATAACGGTACCTCCTGATATTCGGTATTTTGATGATTTTAGGTACAATACTCACAGAAATTGTTTGAGATGTCGTATTTGAAGTTCGTAATGGATGCTACAGCCTGTGACAGAAAATTGTCTGTACAGGTCCAGGTCTTCGTATAGCTCCGATATAACGGTACCTCCATATATACGGTATTTTGATGAGTTTGAATATGGTAATGGCTCATGACAACAATGCCTATGTAGGTCCACGTCGTGTAGATCCCAATGTGATGGCTATATTCTGTATTTTTAAGATTTTAACAGAATTTGTAACGCATTTTATTTTTTGAAAATTTCAAAATTTGTTCAAATGGTGGAGGATATTCAAAGTTCGACCCGGCCGAACATACGCCGTTTTAACTTGTTTTTCTTGTTGCTTGTACACAAAGCCCTTGTACTTTTGTAACCGAATAATAATAACATTTAGAATTTTTCAGCACACCACTCTTTATCGCTCGCGATTAATTGAAAACAATCGAATTATCGTCGTGAATAGTCGTGAAAAAGGACGTATTTTAATCGTTCTCCGCACCCTGATATTTTCCCCATTCATATATTCTTACATTTTTCACTTTCACTAACAAATTTTATTAACCGACGCGCGATGTTTATTTAATTTTTTTACTCATTTCAAGTTACACACTATACGTACCAATTAATAAACACCTCAACTTCTCAATACCGTACGTCCATACGAGCGCCAAATATTGTAATGGAAGCCATGCTCCATACAACGGTTCCCCCGATATTCGGTATTTTTATACCCTCCACCATACATAGTATGGAGGGTATATTAAATTCGTCATTCCGTTTGTAACTCATCGAAATAATCATTTTAGACACAACAAAGTATATATATTCTTGATCAGCGTGAAATTCTAAGACGATTTAGCCATGTCCGTCCGTCTGTTGTAACGGTACCCCCGATATTCGGCATTTTGATTATTTTAGCCACATTTTCTAATGGAATTGTTTGAAATTCCACACAAGAAGTCCCTTCTGTGTACTTTACCCCCTGAAAGAGAATTGTCTATATAGGTCTACGATATCGTATATCCCCCATATAAGTACCCCACGATATTCGGTATTTTGACGATTTCAGACAGTTCCGGCTGAAAATCCATACAAGGCGTTTCTTGTGGATACTTTATCCTTTCGAAGAGAATTATCTATATAGGTCCACGATATCGTATAGCCCCCATATAACGGTACCCGCAATATTCGGTATTTTGATGATTTTAACCACATTTTTCAACGGCATTGTCTGAAATTCTACACAAGGAGTTATTTTTGAGCACTTTACCCCCTGAAAGAGAATCGTTCATAAAAGTCCACGATATCCTATATCCCCCATATAACGGTACCCACCGATATTCGGTATTTTAATGATTTTAGCCACATTTTTTAATGGAATTGTCTGTAATTCCACACAAGGAGTCCCTTCTGAGTACTTTACCCCCAGACATAGATTTGTCTATATAGGTCCACAATATCGAATATCCCACATATATTTTCACCTTCCGATATTAGGTATTTTAAAGATTTTAACTGAATTTTCAATGAATTTTATTTTTTTTTTTTTTTTTTTTTTTTTTTTTTTGAAAATTTTCGAATTCGTTTCAAATTGTGGAGGGTATTCAAAGTTCGGCCCGGCCTTTTACTACTGCTTTTTTACTTGTTCTCTCTTATCATTGATAAGATTCTCGCCATGGTAGAACTAAGAAGGTGAAGTCATGCAATCATGTGTTTACAATATTTTCAAATTTTTACCTTTGACATCACCTCATTATCAAAATCTTTATTCATTAACCCATAGTATATACACAAAACCGGAGTTGGGAACTATTTTCTATTAGAGGGTTTAACTTAAAATAAGAAGAAAGAGGATTTAAAAGTAGTTATTCACCAAAAAGAGCTAGTTGTTATAACAGAGGGAAAATAAAGGAGAGAGGAAAAAAATGTAGGAGAAAAATAAGATTTCTTGTCAAAAAACTAAGAGGGAGATGATCTTTTTGATTATACCTGCAAAGAAGATTGGACGTATGGTTCCCCCGGATCCCAGCAGTGAAAATAAAAGTAGTTGGTACAAAATAATTGTTTTCTTTAAAATTAAATCAATGGTATTTTGATTAAAACTACGATATGAACAAATAAATGCAGTATTAATAAACTAAATAAGACTTAATACCAAATACATATATAGTTTTTACAAAAAGTGATTAAAAGCAAGTAAAAAAGTATCGGTCGGTTTTTGCCGACAGATTTATACCCTCAGCCAATGGTCTATTATTTAAAAATATTTTGACTTCTGTTATGAATTTTCAAACTCTTGACCCTCTATTGAGTGGGTTTTGAAAGAATGGGTCAATATTGTCCATTTCATATCGGATATGATATAAATATAATAATAATATGAAATAAATATAATTATGAATATATAAGAAAATCGAAAATTTATATCCAATTTATGGGAAATCTTAAATTCCATATTCATCTCAGGATTCTGGTGAAGAAACATATATTAAGATATAGTAAGTTGTAAAGAATCGCAGAGTTATTTCGCAATTTATGACAGATAAAAGTATTGAAAATTGTGTCCCTTTGTGGGTGAGGTACCAGAAGGGGTTCGTAGATATATGGCATCTTCACAACATATCTTGTGCTAGCAAAAATGTTTGTATGTTTGAAATTTGAAGAGAGATGGATTCTTATTTCGCTTTCTTTGTGCGTTTCGTTTTTCAAAATCTTGAACCCTATGTGAAGCAGGTAGCAAAAGAAATGGTCCAATCTTTATAACAGATCTTTTTTGATGGAAATATTTTAGATGTACCATGTCTGGAATGGCATCGGATATTGATTTCGCTTCTTATGAGCTTCATGGATATTCAAAATTTTGAGCGTTTGTGAGGGAGGTACCAGAAGAAGCGGACCGATATTATCAATTTTGGCACTAGGCCTAGCATTGACGCAAATGTTAGGATATGCAAAGTTGGAGCAAAATCGGATTATCGTTTTTCTTTCTGTGCAAAAAAATATGTATTTTGTTTTTTTTAATTTCGACCATTTGTGGGGGTGTACCAGAAGGAGTGGACCGATATATTCCATCTTAAAACGAGTCCTTGGGTTAATATAAATATTGGGATGTGTGAATTTTGAAGATAATCGGAATCTTATATCACATTTTATGAAATTTGTAATTATTCAAAATTTTGACCATTTGTGGGGGAGGTTCTTGGTGGAGTGGACCGATATTGTCCATTTTCACACCTAACTTAGCACTGACGCAAATATTTGGGTCTGCAAAATTATAGCAAAATAAGATTATCGTTTCTCTTTCTGTGCAAAAAATATGTATTTTTTTTTTGACAATTTCGACCATTTGTGGGGGATGTACCAGAAGGAGTGGACCGATATATTCCATCTTAACACCAGACGTTGGCTTAATATAAATATTGGGATGTGTGAATTTTGAAGACAATCGGATTCTTACATCACTTGTTATGAGATTTGTAATTATTTAAAATTTTTATCCTTTGTGGGGGAGGTACCAGAAGAAGTAAACCGATTTTTCACACATTTTCGCACTAGATCTAGCACTGATGCAAATATTAGGATTTATTTGAAAATTTCGAAAATTTTTGTAGGGTAGGTCCAGAAGGAGTAGACCGATTCGTTAACAATTAAGAAATTAGCAAAGATTTTATTCTGAAATCGTGATCATTGTGCCATTTGATATACATTCAATACTACTTAGAGAAAGAAATGTCGGGTATTGAAGCACATCCGGGACATAAGGAGTTGTTTCATAGCGACACTAATGTATAGATGTATTTATGTATGTAAGCTGAATTCCTTAGCATTGCGTTGGATCTACAGTCACAATTGCTGTCACTAAAGCTGACTTCAAATTTCAGTAGTATGTTTGTGTGTAGGTTGTTGATCCCCACATAAATATATTTAAAAATTGCTTATTATAGAAAAGTGTGGAATTGAAGTTCAATGTAGACAGTCTT